TTCCCTGGTTTTATTCAGGCTCTCTGGGGACTGACATTAAACCCTTCCCTTTATATAAGCCAGTCCTGATTTGGGACTAGGTTACTCTGGGTGGTCTTCAAGGCTGTTGCCAGTAGTCTCTCAAGGAACCTGGTGGAGTTAGATGAGTACTATGTTAAACTATAGGGCTGACGAGCTCCATCTGCCCGGAGGGCTGGGAATCGAACCCGGGTCGCAGCGGTGAAAGTGCTGCACCCTAACCACTAGAATCCATCTAAGAGAAGGTCACTCTAAACCACTGTCCAAGCTTGCTCGGCCCCGGCAGATGAACCTCAGGATTAAAGGGTGGGCTCAGTTCAGCGCACGCTGTGTCTCACCTAAAAAATCCACTGCGCAGGCTCGAAGGGTTAATGACCTTTCCCAAATCTTCGCTCGCGAAGACTGGCCATACTAGAGAGATGTTAAACTATAGATTTTAAGGCAAGGAAATGTTTGAAAACTGTCTGTCATGGTATCACACATAACACAGTCCAGAACTCTCCACCCCATCCGTCCTGCAGCAGAGGGAATTATTTTTCCATGTTAACACTGTGAAATGAAATAATTTGTGTCCGAAATATAGCACATCTTTCTGCAACACACTGGCTCCAGATTGCATCAGTTAACCACTTTCTGAGTTGTTGCAGCAGTTTTAACCATCATTTTAAAAATAGTGTCCAGCATTTGACTTCACAAGGTGCTGGCAGTGTTCTTACTAAATCACAGTCTTTTAGAGTAGCGAGCAGTCCCTTTGCTAAATGATGCCGAGAAACTCTGTACTGAACAGAATCCTTCCAGGGGGAGGACCACTGCACTGGGGTCCCCAGCTGGTGCAGACTGACTGTATCAGAGCAATTCTGGTCAAGTATTCTCTGATTAAAACAGCCCAAGCTACACAACTGAGAAATCAATATATTGTGATCTGAAGTACACTCCTGAGAAGTTTTTGAAGGTTATAAACAAAACATGATGAAATGACAACAAAAAAGCCCAACAGTTCCACTGACATCTCCTCCCCCTGGATCCTTTAATATTCAAGAACATTCCTGCAGATTTCACAGAGGGTTTTATTGCTATCAAGCTGATTAGGCCTTATTTCTCACATCTCTCCCTACCAGGGACAAGGACAGCTGAGGCATGCAGGACAGTAGCATCAATCCAAACAGCAACAGGTAGTGAGGAGAACCACTGGTGCGTTTCCTGTGAGGGATTTTGGCTTTTAGGCTGTGACATGAGGGATCTGAGTGGCAGTGCCTGTGCTGGCAGCATTGACATCCATTTCAGCCTTTGCTTGGCCTGCTCAGCCCCTACCTGCTCGTGGGGCTTCACAAACTGCAGAGCATCCCCTTGAGGCACGTGCTAACCTAAAGTTAGCTTCTGGAAAGAGCCACCTGTGCAAGCCATGCATGTATCTGGTGTAAAGGTGCTGACAGTGTCACCTGATTTGGAGGGGTTTCTTTGGAAAGCTCTTCTTTCCATGTTGGCAGATTTAGACACACTAAGATTGGCCCTTTGCCTTGTGTAGCTGGTGACTTGTGTGGGGAAGGAAACACTGTTCCCAAATAGCTGTAGACTTGCCATTTTTAAAAGTAGCTCATTAGCACCCATAGTTTTAAAAGTTTCAGGGTTTTTGTGTGGTACCACCTGCAAAGATCTGAAGCAGATGTTTCTTGCTTGTGAGTCAATGCAGAGCCTGAAAGCATTTCAGCCTCTGAAATGTATGTCCTGTGATGTGTGTATTCATGAGCTACTGTCTCATCTTATAGCTGAGTGGGAAAAAGCTTTCTAAGAGTCTAGATGAGCTATTTTGTTATGCTGCCAAAGAGATCCCTGAATAATGGGCATTTGGGGGAGAAAACTGAACGCTTTTTCATGATTTGTTTAACCACTGAAAGCAGCAGAGGGGCAGATCCCTGGATGGTGTATATAGATTAGCCTGTAAGCAGCCATGCCAGTCCACACAAACTGAGGGTAGAGCCTTGCCTGTTTTGAATATTCTCTCTCCTGATTTGTATGGTCTTTTGCAGTGTAATGACTGCTGATTTGGAGCTTTAATTGCATGTATTTGACAAAACCAGAAAGGGAGTGAGGTTTATTATTGTTTTGATACAGCCTCAAAAGGAAAATTTTTACTAGCATTTTAATACAGCCCTTTGTAAACACGTAGCTGAGTCCAATCCTTCTGCTAGTGGAGTCACTGACAGTTTCCTTTGGCTTTAGTAGGAGCTGGACTGGGTTCAGTGTAGGTGACACACTCTAGCATTACTGATAATGAGCTAATGTGTTTTATATATTGACGCTTTTTGCTGGACAGTGCATTGGCTTTTTATGATTTGGTGATATATAAAAATAAATTATTTGAAAATTCAATATTTCTGTGCCTGTGCCTGTTCTTTGAAGGTGAATTTAAATTGTTACAGTGTAAGATAAAAAATTGTTCTCAAAGTCAGTGGCAGCGTCTTAGTTCATGTACTCATTCCCCAGTATCTCCATGCCACAGCTTGTATAGTCAAGGATTATGCCCAACAATCCTAAACTGCCTGAGCCCTTTTCGTACTGTGTTCCAGCAGTGAACCCTAATGCCAGAGGAGGCAAGGAGAAGATAGTCCTGTGTCAGCATGCAGCTGAAAGGCAGATTGTTAGCAAATATAAAGGGGGACCACAGGCTGCATGAGCAGGCTGATTTTCTAAATGCCAGCTGTTTAATTTTCTTCATGTAGCATCAGTCTTTCTCTTCAGAGGTGGGCCTAAAGGTTCCCAACAGCTATCCTGGAGCAAGGAATTAATAATAAACAAGTCCACACTATTATCTTAGAGGCTTCTGAGTTATTGCTTGAGGGCAGCTGGTAACACCCTTTTTATAGTCACAAGCTGCCAGCCCTTCTTCTTGCTTCAAAGTGGCAAAAGGCAGAAGTGACAATTACAATTGCTGCTATGGGCTTCTCCTGCTCCATTAACTTGTTTTCAGACTGTCAGGGTTAGATGGATGAAGGGAGGGAGGGGGATAGAAGCAGTCTTTGGGACTACGTTTTACCAGCACTAATGCTGAGTGCATCAAAAGGTTAATGTAAAAACATCTAGTGTCATCTCACTATGTCCTTTTCTATCTCCTCTAATCATATGGGTATGGATACACCTGCTAGTTCAATCAGGTGCTGTTGATGTGGTGGCCCTGCCTGAAGAGGGTGTTGGCAGCTGCCCTCCATCCGTTCACACTGCAGGAATGTACTGAACACTGTCAAAACAACACTTACCCTTCTGCTGTGGTCTGCTGATTTCTGTTGTGCACTAACTACATGCTCACTGCATAAGGGATATTAGGCAGCACTTCTACCCTTAGGCCCTGCCATTAGTCCATTGTCATTCACATTCAGACTTCTTTGTACTCTCCTCTGGCCCTTTGACTCCTGCCACCCCAGACGTTGCTCCTGGGAAGCCCACATCTACCCACTGTCTGCTTCAAAAATTGCTGCAAGAGTCCTGTCCTGCATCACTTCCTCTTTCAGGCCTTTATATCTAAAACATGACCATTTCCAAGCTGGATTAAATAATTGCTCAGAGGTGGTTAGCTGCAGGATTCTTGTCTTCTAAGGCAATTCACCAAGCTGGCACCAGCACGAATTCAGGTGAGCATCTCCACCACTTGCAATAAATTTTTTACTCCCTCTCCTTTTTATCTCTTTTGGGAAATTCTCAGGAGTTGTACTGAAGGGAAATATTACCCAGCATGGCCAGCAAGGGGGTTATTACCCAACATAGCTCATTTTTGTAAATTTAGGGCTCCAAACTTACAAAGGTATCACACAGAAAAACACTGAACACGAAGAAATCAGATCTAGCTCACGGCAGTAGGATAAAGCTGTGATGAATAAAGAACTGAATGAAGGGGCAGAGAGGGAAGAGGGTGTGGGTGGGTGTGGGTGTGGGTGTGTGGGGGGGTGTTTAAGCAGGATGGGTGAGTGGGAAAAGAGCTTCCGTGTGAGAAGGAAATAGAACAGGTAAGTCCACAGTGAAGTTGTGCAGCAGTAAACAAATGCAGGCCTGGGAGCTGGAATTTTTCCTCCTATTCCCAGACTTGTTACTGACCTACTTCATTCACTCCCACAGATGCATTGGCTTTCTTAGCTGCAGTTTCTTCACCTGTGAAATGCCATCACTCTCCTTGGAACGTAATTTAACTTTTATTTATTTCAAATCTTCTGGCTTTGAGGCAAATTTAATTTGGCCTTTTGCAGCCTGCAACATATCTGACCGACCACAGTAAACAATCCTGACCTGGGAGACCTTGTAAAGCCATGGTGAGACCTCAACAGATAACTCAAGTGCTGCCTTTGCCCATGCCCAAAACCGTCCCAAGCAGAGCCGACACAAAAGCCAAGAATAGCCATTCCTCTGCTTAATGTTCCTGACAGCCCAGATGTGATATCTATTCTCACTCACACTGATAAAATTGGGCCCCAGCAAGAGGAACATGGACATTTTCCATTTAAAGCAGATCCAGTGGAAAGGTGGTCCTATGTCCATCTCCTGGGGAGCTGTGCAGGAAGGTGGGCACAGATATGATCTTCCCACCACCTCCACATTTTTCCTCACAGTCCTAAGAGGAGTTCCTGTTTTACCTTAACCATCAGCTTTTTTAAAGTTACTGAAACCAGGTTGCTAACATACTGGAAGGGTTCACTCTACTGCTCTTGTTCTTGTCAGCTCAACCTTTGCATTTTTGCTGCAATGTGCCATGACTTGGAGTGAGGGAACTGTCCCTTCAAACAGGCTCCTGTTTGGAAGGGCCTAATTGCTACATGCTGGGAGGACATGTCAGTCCAGAGCCAAAAAGGAACACCACTGGCTTGCCAAAGAGTTTTCAACATGACCATGAAAAAGATCATAAACATTAAAAGATGCAAACAGAAGTTGCAATGACCTCCTTGCCCTGTGCAGGTACCAATCTAAACCTTTTCATCAGAGATTCACCAGCACACAAGTTTAAAACCTTTCTTTTTTATTACCTAAACAGCAGGGCTGAGACAGTAGAGAGGGGAGGGAAGCAGTGTGAAACTTACCCTCTGAGCTGGGGTACCTGAGTGGTTTGCACACAGAGCCCCTGAGCCAAATACTCCTCCTGCAGCAACCTCTGCTTCCCAGACCGGCACATGTCAAATGCAATGCCTGTGGCTTTGTCAGCTTAGGAGGAGCCTGAGAACAGCCACTGAAGTCACTTCTTTCTATCCTGGGCAGCAATTTTTTTTACTTGCTCTCAATCAAGTTGCTGCCTACTCTCCTCTTGAGAGAAGGCTGCATATTGCATTTCTGTTTATCATCTCCTGGTTAAAGTCCTTGGGCTGCTTGGGAGAAAATTGCTGGGGCAGAGGTATAGCCCTCTTAAAAAATTCTATTAAAAATAAAGCACCATTTTTTTCTTTTTGGTGGTTGTCTTGGCAGGGGAATTCCAGCCAAGGTCTTGCAGGCATCACTTAATCTTCTCTGCAGTGTTTTCTTTCCCCCTCTTTTTCCTGCTTCCTTTTCTTCAGCTTTTACAGGTTCTGATGTCAATTTTATCATACCAAATAACTCCAAGCACATATCAGGTACTACTTGTGAAGAATCTAAGGCCTAAAAAGGTGTTTGTGCTGGTTCTTTGAAGCTCACAAGCTTGCACCAATTTGCTCTCCTCTCAGATACCCAGAGCACCATTTCACATGATCTGCATTAATAGGATTCTCTTCAGAGACCTGCATAGTATGGGAGGCAATGGAGGGGTAAAGGGACTTGGCCTCCCACTCCTTCATAACCAGTCCATATTGCCGTGATATAAGGCCCCAAATACTAGGGCATAAAAAGTATAACCTCTGGCTGAATACAAGCATTATCATAAATCTTTTAAGTCAGCTCGCAGAGTTTATGGACTGAATCAAACCCAGAGGATTAAACTACCGATCTGATGATTAGCCTGAGTTTCAATGCTGCTATTTTTTATGTTAGGCAAATAAACTATTTTCTGTTTAAATGAGTTTTCGTGTTGTTTTTCACTCCTGGGAGTTAAGTGAATCAGTAAGAAACAGCTTTTGCCCATGGAGTAAAAAAAAAATGCATGAAGGGAAACGAGAAAGCCATTTGCTGGGATTTTACTAATAAACATTTCAGGTGTATAAATATAGCAGCTTGTCAAGCCTTTGGCCACCAGAGAAGTGTTGGTGCAATAGTTCTGCTTTATTTTAACTTTTGCAGAATAGCTCTTAGGAGACTTAAGGAGAAAGGTGATTTGATATCTAAAGCCTTGACCTGAGACTCAGGAGATTTTTCCTCAGAGCTTGCTGCTGCCTGCACAGATCAATCTGTTTCTCTCTCTACTTTTGCTCCTCATATCAGCAGTTCATAAACTATGGGGGACAAAACTGAGATACTTGTTTGCTGTTCAGGGTGATGGAGCATGAGTTTGGTGAGAACTCAAGGCACTGGTAATGACTGTTCATTGGTGTGGAAAAACAAACAAAGAAGAAAAAAGAAGTGGCTGCTGGATGATGCACAACAGGGGTGATTTTCTTGCTCTTTGAGGTGGACAGTGTTTCCTTGCATGTGGCTGGAGTAAACTGGGAGTTTTGCACTGACTCATGCTGCTTAACAGTGTCAGGCTGAAGGACATTGCTACTGCTTCACAAACCAAGTCCAACATCTCTGAGCAACGTGTCTTATATGAAGAAAGAAGATAACAAGTCGGGATTGAAATTCCTCCAGGACTTTGACATCTTGCTTCATGCTGGTGTAGTAGAGACTCACAGCAAGGATCAGCACTGCACAAAATGAGAGCCACAGGAGCATAGGCAATCCAGATGATGACCTGTCATCTACTGAATGGTGATGAGGAGAAAAAAAGAAAGCAGCGTTATTTTAGTGTCATCTTAAACACTTCCCAAATTTGGTCCCCTGCTGATGCATTTGTACCAGTTTTCTGGGAACAGCAGGGTACACAGGGCTCTTGTTGTGAGTACTTCCATACACATCAGTTAAGCAATAGTGAGTCACACCTGCTGATGGAGGGTGGTGAGTATAAAATATGTCATCTAATGGAGCATTTAAAGGGTTTAATTACATACAATAGGAACAGGATTACCATAGTTAATGTGTGATCTCAAGTAACCCTCCAGCAATTAGTTTTTATACTTTTACACTATATGTTAAATTGAATACTAGGAGAATATGAAGCTACTTCATCCAATATTTAATGATCACAAATGCTCCATAAAAGAGACAAGATGTAGATTTCCATCCTTTTCCCTGGTAACTCAGCTTGTTTGGGACTCCTGCTAAATATGGTAATAACTGAAACGTGGCCCCAGTAACCAAGGGGTTAGAAAATGTTTAGAAAGTTCTGGCAGTTTTAACCACTCTCTAAGTGCTACGTGTGCTAATTACACTGGAACATCCTCTGCACTTGCTCTAAGGCAGGAACAACCTGTAAACATTTTTCTTGTCTTCAAAATACAGTTCAAGTTTGTTTAAAGCACCCTGGGTCCGGCACAGCACACACGTGGAAATCAGAGGGCTACATTTAGCTTGCTGACATCTGTGCCCCAATCCTTGCACGTGTTTATCCATCCGTGTGCCTCAGGGATCCAGTTTGATTCAGATCTGGCTGCTCTGTTTGACTTCATGGCCATTCCACAGTCTGTACTATTTTATAAAGCACTTAGAGTATTAAACACGCAGTATAAAGCCAAATTCATGCCTGAATAAAACCCATAGTCTACAGCTATTTTCCTGCCATATGCACATAATCAATAAGGAGATAAAAATGTGGAGTGTATTATTATGGGTAAAGGGCCAACATTAGCTGTAACATATTTAAATTAGCTTCTACTCCGAGCCCTGGAATACACACCAGTCAATTAAACTGTCATACAGATGTACAGAGAGGAAGGTAAAAGTCATAAAACCAAGCAGGAAACACATAATAATGTATCAAAAAGTGCATGGGGAAAAGGTAAAATGTTAATAGGCAGTCATTTTACAGCTAACCAGAAACCAAATCAATGTCCCATAATAGATCTGAGTGAATTATTTGGAGCAAATAATTTATTCATTTGAATTTAGCCCTTCTTTCTGTTTGCAAATTATCCACAAGCAGAATTCCATTTTTATAAATTTGTTTATTTGGCATTATTCTATGAATGGTTGATATGAAGGTGTTTAGCCAGGGAATTGCTCACCACTTTCTGCATTTGCAGAGATTTGTGAGCTGGAAGTTCTTTTCCCTTGTGTGATTTCTCACACCACAGGCTACAGTTCTCCACCGGGTGCCCACCTGCCTTTCACAGTGAAGGACTTGGCTGACGAGCACACATGGGAGCAGTGAAACCTTTCTGTGAAAGCTGAACAGCTTTTCACATCAGCCCTTTCCCATGAATTTCTTATAACCTTTTTCAACCTTGCAAAAGTTATTTCTGGGTGACCTCAAATGCAAACTTGAGTTCTCCAATCTGCAAAATTAGGACGTATATTCAGTCCATAGGGTAATGTGCAAAAATATTTCCATGCACAGAATAGAGATAAGCTATGCTCACAACAGCTTCAGCACATCACTACAGTTATGGGCTGAAATTTAAATTTGTTTTTCTAGATTACAAGTAGAAATTTAATGCTTAAATTTGTTAGTTAAATTGCCTGTTGGAAGAGCACACACAGCCACAGGCGTGTGCCCAGTCTCGTGGTAACTCATCTGAGAAAAGCACCGGCCCCAGACACAGGAAGTTTTGTTTCAGTTTCTGCCTTGGACACACAGTTCCACTGTCCCCTGAAGAATATTTGATCTTTGCTTTCCCACCTGTCTCTCTCCTACCTATAGCACCTTCTTTCTAGCCCAATAGCTGCCTTAGCTGATGCTTCCATTGTCATGAGCACACTAACCCTTTTCCCAGACAACAGCAATAGCTAGGGGATATGGGGACATCTGTCTGGGAGGCTTTTTGGCCTCCCAACACTATGGATCTGTGTGTGTATATATACAAGTATATATATGTGTCCCTCTCCTCTCACTGCATTGCATATAGCAGGGGCTGGATTTTGGCCAGGGCCTCTAGAAATTATCACCCTCCTAAGAAATCCAGATACACACATTTGCTTCAGGGTCTGTAAGGCTGCCTGGCCTTGAACAAAAAAAAAAAAAAGAAAAAACACATTATTTTTATTATTTCTACCCTGCTGCCAGCATATAAATGAATTGTCTCTTCCTCACACACAAAACTCAGCAGGGAGAACTATTGTTTCGCTTGGGGTGCTTTCCTTGCATATCTTAGTGAAAAACCTGTACCTATTCTATTGCCATAAAATATATTAATTATATTTAAATTAAAAATAGCTTCAGGGATTTCATTTTTGTTTCCACTATTTGTCTCACTAGACGTCTTGTTTAAAATTGCACCAGACCTCATCAGCACCTTGTGCTGCTTATGCTGAGAAGAAAAAGCAACAACCACTGACAGCACGAAATGCTGTGTACATGGAGGGTGTATTTGCACAGTGCATCCCAGCAGCCACAAAAGCAAACTCAGGTTAATGCTATGGATGGCTCACAGTTATAATGTGAAAATTCAACTTACCCACTACGTAGTCACAGCAGGAAATGGCTAGAAAACAGAATGAAAATGTTCTTACACACCTGGAAAGGTCTCTTGGCAGCTGGTGAACATAAGAGCAAGCACCAAGTGGTGTCTCTGAAATTGCCTGTCACTTTATAGATGCTGAGCCTCCTCTTACAACACTTTTGGCTCTGGATGAGGATCTATCCACTCCATGCAAACATGCAGATGCAGGTGCACTTCAGGAAAGTGAGAAAAATTATTGTATGGAAGAGTTCAGAGGCAGAGTTTACTGCTGTTGCAGGGCAGTCAGTAATCAGCTCCTGCAAAGAAAACCTGCCTATTCCAAATAATTTTTAGAAAGGAAAGGAGATAGATCAGAAGTATGAAAGTTAAGTGGGCAAGGCCCACTCTCAGATTACTTTCATCCAACAATATCCTGGAAATCCCTCTGCTTGGCAGCCGAGGCCCAGACACAATCCAGGATGAAAAGTTCATAGAATGGAAAATTTTCACTGGTGCCAGAAATGTTCATCTTACCAGCCTTAATGTTAATAATGTGTGGACAAACAGTAAATAATTTAAATCACAGAATACTAATTATGGGTTAGAATGTTTCTCATGTCTTCATGGAAACGTCTTCTCCACCCTTGCAGCTCCCTGGAGTTCCAGCATGGCTGTGCTGAAATCAGAGCCAGTGGGGACCAACCTGGTCCCCCTGGGCTGGACTGACTGCAGGATTACCAGCACTGCTGGCAGGGACCCCGGCAGAGAGCTGAGGGAGTTAATAACTCCCATCAAAATCCTCTTGAGCAGTCAGATGAGCTTGGGCAAATTTAGGACTGACTCACTGAGCATTTCCAGGAGTTCAGTTTTGATGGGAAAGCCCAGGCCATGGCAACAACCTTATCAAGAAATAGCTTTCCCCTCCTGCGTCAGGAGGCATCCCAAACAATGTGTTGCCAAACAAATGAGAGTTCTGTTTACAGACACATCAGTAGATGCCGAGCCTTGTTTTCAGAAGCTGCAGCAGTCCAAACAGGTGGCTGGAATATAAATGTTACCATTCTGTCGCCTGTGCTTTTACTGACTGACGTATCAAACCCATACAATTTTAGTTCTCTACCAATAAATACAATTTTCTTACTTGGGTCAAATTGGAGAGAGTCAGAATGTAACAAGAATAGTTCTTATTTGGTATTGCATATAGCACATGCAGAAGTGCAAATTGGATCATTGTGCCAGACCTCTGCTTATGGTCACTCCCAGCTGACCTATCTGTAAGCTGCTATTTTGGCTCATGACTGAAATGACCAGAGGTTTTGTTGGCTGTGTCATTCCTTGGGTGCCTTCATTGGCAGAAATTATTACATCCTGGCTGCTAGGCTTAGACCTCTGCTATTGTATTCTGTGGCATGCATGCTGCTCAAAACCATGACAGGGCTGGCTCCCGCCTTCCCGTTGCATCCTAGGTACCCAGAATGACATAAACATGTTTAAAATTTGCCTGAGATCCTTTTTATGAGTGGATACATTGTTCTGGGGTAGCCCTGGGGCTCAGCCAAACCCATGGTCTACAATGATCCCTGTGGGGGTTGACTCAGGAGGCCACTGTGAGAACAGCTGAGGGTGCAGGAGCCTGTCTCCTCCCAGGGCAGGCAGGCAAATCAACCAGATACAATTCTGCAGAGCACAGAGCAAAAACTGTACATCCTCTGCTCCACGCAGAGCTGAAAATCACAAATAACATTCTCAGAGGAGGTAGCTGATGTGGACAGACAGGGTGGATGTTAAAAGCTAGAAAGGTCATGCAAAAGGCTTAATAACTTGAGCATACCATGTTCAATGACTTCTGGCTCACGAAATCGAACCCTTCTCTCTACTTTCCGCTTTTCCCCCACAGCTTGATCCACAGGTTGCCTTTTCCTCAGTATTGAAGGAGGATAGCTACTGTCATCTGCCTAAAGAGTTGATCAAAACACAAAACACACGGCCATTGAAACAGGGTTAATGTGTCTGGGTGAAGTTCTGAGCTTCTGTGGCTATGTTGTGGCTATAGGTATGTAACACATCTGCTTGGATATTTATAGTCAGACCACTGTGTTATTTATGGCAAGGCAATAGGGGTATTCCTTCATTGTCATAGACATTCAGTACTCTAAAACTGTATTCTCAGGGAAAAGGTTAGTTCAAGTAATGGACAGTAAAGTGTTCAGAAAGCATTTCTCTAAATTGCAGTGAACAGCGGCTGAAGGTGGCTGCTCAACAGCCTTGGGGTAGATGGACAAAAATGTGATATGAAATACATGAACCATATCATTTGGAGAACCTTTGAAATGTTCTGAGCTAAGCAGTTCCATTTGGAATGCAGTGCTGCCATTTCAACAACTGGGACTATGCAGCAGACTTGGGTTTGGACACAATCCTGATGGGTACAAGAAGGTAATTTATTTGCACTTCAATATCGCATTTATGTTGCTGCTCTGGTTCTTGCTTGGAAGCCACAGTTTTTAACAAGAGAATTGTAATGCTGTGGATTCTTTGAAACTGCAATAACAGTAATAAGTCACTCTTCTGCATAGGAATGCTCCCACAGTCAACTCCCCAAAGTGAATCCAGAGTGAATTAACTCCCCAAAGCAAATCTAAAGTGAATCTTCACCATCCTCTGGAATTGGAGAGCAGACAGCAAATTTTCTGTTTTTCAAAGAGTCAAGTGTGTGGTAGAGATTCTCTGCATTTTATTTTTAAGATTGAAGTAATCTTCTCTAGCCCTTTCTCCCTACTCCCTCTGTTCCTCTGCCAGGTAAAGGATATTATTTCTGAGATGATTTGTTTGTCCCTGCTCCTTTTTTTTCCTCTTGTGTGTTACTTCCCCACTCAAGGATTGCTTGCTCCTTACTCCATGTTTTTCTTCTTGCCTTAATCTTCCTACTCCTCAATTCTCTACTTGTGTACTTTTTTAGATTCAAATACCCTTGCCTTACCTTTTCTCTTTGGATGCTTTCCCCAAAGTCACCTTTTCACACATCCACTCCTTGGGCTGCAGGAGCAGGATTAGGTGCCATTAACTACAGTCTGGGGGTGTCAGACCCCAGAGTAAAGAAGATGAGCACATTTTCTTATGCATCACTCTCTGAATAACCTCAGAAAGGCACATAGCATAGCCAGCTGGAACTGCCATGGAATGAGGAACATCTTCAGCTTGCTACCTCCTCCTGAGAGATGTATAAACCCACCCTTATCACTGATAAGGATGCTTTCTCTGATCTTGGGGTCATAACACCTCTGTCTCATGACCATGGACAGTGTGTGTTGGAGCTCTGTATTTTTCATTCAGCAGCTCAGAAGCTGGAAGCCCCATTCAGGGTATGGGAAACCTGGATTCAACTTCTTTCCAAGTCCAAAGAAATACAAACCCACATCTCCTGTATACAAGCCCTCACCATCAGAGCTACAGTATGCATATGGGAGCAGGGAATCTCAGTCTCTGCCACTAAAGCCGTCTTGTTTGGCCTTGAATAATTAAATATTCATTGAGCTAAAGAAGGAAGGAGTGACTTTACAGCCTGGTGTTTAGGTGCTCCCTTGGGGGTGGCAGAAGTCTGCTCCTATCCTTGCTCCAATGAATACTTAATATGTAATACTTAAATATTCATTGAAGTGGTCACTGGGAACAGGGTCTCTCATCTACCAGGTGAGTACCCTAATCACTCTGCTGCAGCCACACGCACACACACACTTACTCACATAATGAATATTTGATTATTCTGTGTAAAATTAAACAGGTTTAGGGAGACACAGCCCAGCTCAGGTTAGAGGTGGTTATAGCTTTAGCTATGAGGGCTCTTCCTGTGGCACAACCGAGGAAACTGAACCTTAAATTTGAAAAGATTTATAACTCCAAGTGCAGCTTTTGTCCATTTGAGCTTTTCCAAATACTTAACAGCGATACCATGTCAGGAGAGAAAAATATTAAACAACTAGCTGGTTGGGTAGCACCTAGCAAAGGGAGACCTTAAAAAGGAAGTAGCTTTACGATATGTACTAGACTTTAATAACTTATGGAAATCAAAGCTACGGAGTGTCAGAAGAAATAATGCATTCTCCCCTCGGACAGAAACCTGGCATTAACATATCCTGACAAGAGCTGGAAACCTACCAAAGTGAGAGTTGGGAAATTACCTTAAAAAGAGCCCATTTGTAAAAAGCTTCAGGAGTTGGACACAAGGACTCTATCGCCCATCAAAGAGTTACTTACCGGCAGCTCCTCTGCACTAGGACCAGAAGGTGGGACTGGACATATCTGGGACATGTACTCTGGATGCCACCATGAAGGGTCCCACATGAAGCTTTGGAGGGAAACCCACTTGCTCGAGGAAATGAGAAGGAACAGGGAAAAGCACCTGGAGATCCCTCCACAGTGAGGATGGAGCAGGCAGTGCCACTGAGCAGATGGGAGCAGCAACAAATGACAGAGGAGTGGAAAGAAGAGTTTCCGCCCTTCATACCAGTGTTGGTGTGGGAAGGATGACGCTACATGAAATGTACTCAGTAGCCAAAAATAGCACATAGTGATAGTACTGATTGTGCAGCTGGAAAACAGGGCTTTCCTGGCAACAGGGAAGGGCCTGAATGGAGCAAATCACAGATAAACACCTACGTTGTTTTTTTCCTTTTTTTTTTTTTCTTTTTGCATAAATGTGAAATTTAGGCTGTTTTTTTATCATAATTTTTACATTTCTGTGATCATGTTGTTTTCCTTTTCAGAATCCAATCCCAATCTCAAAAACCTTGCAAGTAGAATTACTTTTATTCCTTCTTCCATTCAAAATATGTGGGTAAAGACATCAGGAAATTATATAGATGTAGTGGCATCACATATATATATCCCTCCAGTACAGTTATGGCCTCACTTTATATGTTTTTCAAATTAAATCCATTATTATAGCAATAAAGTGGGATTTTAACATTTTACATTTCTACAAATATCATAATAAAATTATTGATGGGAAAAGAGGTGATTTACTGTTCAAGAGGTTTTAACAGCCCCTTGTCAAATGCTGAAGCTTGGTCATCATCAAATATACAATTTTTAGTCAGAAATACCTGCCATGACTGCTGAAATATGGTGGTTTACTGTCCCTGCAAGCACAAGCTTGTGCTTTTTTTGTTGTTTGTTTCCTGGAGCTATTTATTTGCTGTGGCATGTCTAAAATACTATGGTGTCTGGTTTTTTTCCAGGTGGTTGGATAGATTCTCCCAGGGCATGCTCAGACCAGCCCTCGTTCTGCACCTACCCAGTTTAGCAAGAGTTGCAAGATGCTCATGTTGACAGTAGGAATCAGAAGCTCTGTGGGCTTCACTGTTTTAACCTTCTCTCAGGAATCTGGGGAATGGGTTGGGATCCTCCCCCGGAGAAAACTGGGCCAGCATTGTAGAGGAGGCATCTGTGACTGATGTGGGGTCAGTAGACCCTTCCAGCCTTGCTGCCCTCCTGCAGCTCAGCCTCTGCATGGATCTGCTGTCCTCAAGCCGTGCCCTTCCCAGCAGTGGCATCAATATCAACGTGGAGAAGAACAGACTTGGCTGGTCTAGGACTCTTCACTGAATGTACCATATCTAAAAGCCACCCGGAGAAAGTTACCTTACCTTCTCTTTCCTGTGCATTGGGATGATGGAGAGCTTTTCCTCATGCTGAAACCGGCTCACAGCTGCAGGACTTGTGAAATGCTCTCAAAATCCCCTCTCTAGTGTCTCCTGCAAATGTTTCACAGAAGTTATTTTGGAATATCTAAGCTGGCTTTTAGCAGGGAAAAGACATTCTTCAAAATTTTGTTCATAGTAGATCCTAGACAGAAAAGTGACAAATCCTACCAAACCATGGTCCCTGGCCTCTTCTCTGGTTCCTCCTTCCTCTTATTGTGATAATCATTTGCTACTAATTAATGTAAGATGGAATTTACCTGCCTGCTTTGGCCAGCAAATCTGATGAAGGTGGGAAGAAGGAAGTAAAATTCTATTCTTCATCTAGCTTTGACTTTCTCCATGGGAATTGTCTCACTTATTTTTACTAGTGTCACCCAGCAAGGCACATAAGAAGGTCTTGTGCAGCCTCTTATTCCTGCAGAGAGTGGCAGTAAACTTTTACACCTGAATGAAAAATCTTGTTCCTGTCTTTTTCACTGAATCTGGTTTTGTTAAAAGAAAAGTCTCACAGTTTTCTAAGCAATTGCTCAAAAACTTTTTGGTAATTTCTCAAAAAAACCCAGACAGAATAGTTGATGGGAGTAGTTGTTTTCAAGAAATGGACATATGGAGACAACATTTATAATTTTTGATGCCAGAAACCATTTCTTTTCAGTTCTAGATTTCCCTTAAATATAAACAAATTTTCTGTTCACTTGACTGAAAAATAATTGGGCAACTCATAAATGTTTTCATTAAAGATTGTTATCTAAATGCCAGGAATGATCATTTCATAGTCCCATTCTCATTTTTGTTCCACAATGTGTTATTTATATTGATAGTAATAGTTGTAAATGCTTGAATAATTAGTAGTTACCTGGGCACTCAAGTTCCAGTGGATAAAGATGCCAGGAGTTCAAATCTCATAACAGGGACAGCTCCATTCCTACCAACTGCTTTTGATTGCAGTCTAACAACCTGAAATTGGTTATATATTAGGAATAAAACACAGATTAATGCACAAAGTAAAAGATTCCAGGAAAATAACTTCACTAGCCTCTAAAATTACTAGTAATAAATAACAGTTATGATAGTAGGATGATTTCTGCATTGGAAGCTGGAAGAATTTCTTTTAACATTGTCCTTCTTTTAAAAATAATTTTTCATCTAAACTTTGATCTCATTTCATGCAACATATGCAAGAAGCAAAGCTGGACAAATAATTCATAAATGAATTATTTAGCTTGCGAGTGTCACCTCTATTTCTTTCAGCTAATTGTTCACAAATAGATAGTGACTTTTGTGAATGTATTCATTATTCAGATTTATTCAGTGGATAATTGCTGGGAGTAATTCTTTGTCTGTAGAATGCTTGGAAGCATTTTGCTGTGAACATTCCTAGTAAAAATCTATCCAGGTTTTCAATACAAGACAAACTAAAATTATCTATAACTACTGATGCAGTCCTTAAACATGAACAATATACTGCAGTCTTAAAGAGCAACAGGAACATTTTCAGAAAGAACTCCACTACTTCCCGTGGTACACAGGAGGGAAAGCAGAGACATTTCAATTCTCTGTGTAGCACCAATGTTGAATGGTGCATATTGTATATGCAAATAAGTTTTCACAAGAAAGGGGTTGCTTATGTGTTTGCTCAGCAGAAAAACAAGACAAGCCTGAACAAAACATGATTGACTTCGCAGAGAATAAATATGAACAGACCACACAAAGGAATTAACTGCATAGCCAGTATTTTTTCTGCAATACCCCAGTGGAAGATATCTAGGAAATAAACATAACACGATAAAACATTTTACACTCACAGGATAGCTGTGTAACCATATGAACTCTTTTTCCATTTCCTTCTACAGGAATAAATATTTTAGACAAGCAAAGTACTTTGTAAACGATGCCTTTGTGAGGATTCGTCTGGCCTGGTTCAATTATTCTGAAACCCAGCAATTTTCTCATATCATTGAATCTGGTTTTATTGCAAATAGGGTCATAGAAATAGTCACTCATTGCAATAATGGACTTCGTTTATCTTGACTATTAACACTTCCAGTAGGCTTACACACACATATATATTCAATATTTATGGATATGCACAGTGCATATATATTAATAATGAAGTAACTTTATCTCCAACAATCTGAAAACAAAATCACGTAATACCATACAGTGTGGGGTGCAGTGGTAACTGGAAGCAGCATATCAGGATAACAGAACAGAAAAGGAATAAATAAATTAGAGAGGAGTCTTCCGTATCTTCCTCAACTTCCAGAGTGTCAATTGAGCCTTTGTTCAATATTCCACCTTTCGCAGTCCTGTGTACTCTTGATTAATAATTTAGAGATGCTCCTTTTGGAAGCAAGGTAAGTTTTGTATTTGCCAAGAGTGATTTTCCACTAGTCAGGAAGCACATCGGGAAATAAAAAGGCAAATTGCCCCACAGAGTATAATTAGCTGCTGTCTTCTTCCTTTTTCTGCCTCTGGAGAAACAGATTTACTGCTGAAAGTTGTGGGATACTCATGAGGTGTTGCATGGCACCATTTCTGCTCCTAAACCTTCCAGTAAAGAAAGCACTATGTAAATCCCAGCCTCAAGACAAAATTCAGCTCTGTGGACTGCATGTTTCTATTCCACACCCTGAAGGGTCATGATTATTCTGTTGTCTGGTGGTCAGTCCAAAATGGGGAGTTTTGGTGTAGTTGGGCAAAAAGAGACTAACAACAAAGCATAATGGAGACAGAGCACTGATGGAAAGATGCTCTGAAAACACTTGGCTGAAAGCAATCAGTTTTCTTTTCTGTATATCCATTAATTCCTGTGATGCCCATAGATCTGTGTATCCAGGTGCACTTTTCCCCAAGGAAGGGCAGTTTTGGTCTGCACAAAGTGAAGCATCAACAGTTCCTGTGGTGCTCTGTGGAGGACCCACAAGGTTATCCTCCCAGTGAGACCTTCTCTCTACCCTTTAGATATTACTACCCTGTGCTGGAAGTTGTCATGATCACATAGATCTGTAAGTTCCCCTTTGATGCAAGTAGGCAGACCTGGGGCCATTCATCCAGGAACTGTGGGTCTGGATTGCTAATCTTTGCAAAATAGATTAGAGATGGTATTATCACATGCAGCCATCTGATCCATCACAACTGAACTAATTTCTGAAGGCAGAGCCATGGCTTTTTATGCGGATGTAGAACCATATAATAGGTTGAAAAAATCCTTTAAGTCCAATGAGTCCAGTTAACCCAGCACTGTCAAGCCCACCACTAAACCATGTCCCCAGGTGCCACATCTACATGTCTTTTAAATACCTCCAGGGACAGCGACTCAACCACTTCCCTGAGCAGTCTGGTCCAATGCTTCATAACCCTTCTTGTGAAGAAATGTTTCCTAATATCCAACCTAAACCTCCCCTGGTGCTACCTGAGGCCCTCTGCCCTAGTTGTATTGTTTGTTACTTGGGAGAATAGGCCAATCCCCACCTGGCTACATCTTTTCAGGTAGTTGTAGAGTGTGAGCCTCATTTTCTACAGTCTAAACTGGAGCAGCTCCCTCAGCTGCTCCTCATAAGACTTGTGCTCCAGACCTTTCCCCAGCTCCACTCCCCTTCTCTGGACACACTGCAGCACCTCAATGTCTTTCTTGTAGTGAAGGGCCCAAAACTGAACACAGGATTCAAGGTGTGGCCTCACTGGTACTGAGTACAGAGGGACCACATAGCAGGGCCTTCAGAATGATAATTGTCTTCCTGGAGCCGTGGCACCAGTTTCAAAGCCACAGTGTGTGCAGGTTTGTACTGGTTTTGAACTGGGCTCTTTTCTGAGGCAAAGATACAAGCACTGAGCAGAAGAGTTGTAGGGTTTTCCAGTATGGTGAGAACATCCCCACTGCAGGACACAGCAATCTCTGCTCTCTTTGGACTGACTGGAAATGATTTAACTCTGTTGAGGAATCTGGTCTCCATTCATCCCTGCCATGAATCCATTGACTTACAAAAGGCATAGATCTGTCTCCATTTCTTAAAATTGCCTCTCTTACTCATGTGTCTTTCCTGGTAGATGTTACAAATAACCGCAGAGGACTTGTGATGATATATAGTAAACATAGAGAGAATTTTTGGCTGCTGAAATGAACTTTCTAAATAATTACAGAATGATTCCACATCCATTTCATAATTAGACTCCTGAGATTGCAGCCAAGCTATTATTTGTGATTCAACATGCATTTTTATTTTAGAAATGTCCCATAGCCATTAGGTTTATTCCACTTGAGGTTTTCTAATTCGTTCTGATCATCCTGTCACTGGGATCTTAAATGTAAAGCATGTATTGATCAAATAAGAGTTACCAAGTAACCAAATGCTAATATCTGCTGTTGGCTCACTGAGTCCAAATCAGCCAGTCCTGTTGATGTGAAATGTGGGAGATGGACAGGGCTGCAGTGAGTGAGGTCATTCTGAGTTAGGTTTTGTCACATGCTTATTATATTTTAGAAACAAAAAGGAGTGGAACTGGAACCTCTACCTAAAGCATTTGGGCTGCTACTGATGGCAGGGTTGCCATCAGCCATGAGATGAATGAGAAGGAGGCACCCACTGCCAGAAGGCAGACATCTGAGAGGGCATAACAGAGAAAAGGCAAGTAAAGAAATCCCTTTAGAAACAGCAAAAGTGGAATTATTTTCAGGAGTTCCATTTTAGCAGTAATCACTTTGTGTTTACTGTTGTGTTGACTGGGGTTTTCTGCCCATTTTCCTGGGTGAACTTTGACCTGAGGAGAAATCCAGCTAGGATGACTGCAGGATATAGCCTCAAAAGGAGATTAGTGGTTTTGTCTAAATCCCAGATGTCAAAAGACTCCAATTGACTTCTGTGAGCCACTGTCTGTCCTTAAAGGATTTTAGAAACCTGGCAGCCATTAATGCCAAACTGGCCCTGAGAAGGGCAGCAAGTGGGACTGACTGAAGAGCAATGGGAAGAGAAGAAGCCAAGGGAATCGCAAAGCACCTAGACACAGGCACTGCTACATGAGATGATTTGAAGGCATTGATGTGAATGCACTTGAGCTCCATTTGCAGTGTCACCTTGGAAGGGGATTAGATTAGATTAATGACATGAAAGAAGAACAGAAAAATGGAGAAAATAGCAGATTGAAGTGTAAGAAAATCCCAAATGAGGAAAAAAATGCATGAATTGGAAAGAGTTTGCATGGTGATATTGGATGATAAAGATTCTGAAAAGCAAGTGGCAAATCCCTCTGTCATTGGCAGCCGCTTTACATTAACATTAAGTCTTTTAATGATGATATTTGTTTTTGTAATTAGTATGTAAGTCTCTCTCCTCCACCTCTCCAAGCCCTGGAGACTGGTGATTTCAGAGTAAAACAAGTCAGTTTAACAAAGAGTAATTGGTACAATTTCCAAAACTGGCTGAGTGCTTCTGGAGCCTATATTCAATTCCATCTGAATTTAAACTGAGGAAAGGAAAATAAGCAAGGGTAAATTCAGACAGAACATCAAAGAACACTAGTCAACATCAGACTACACAGATAAGTCAGGCTGAAAGCCAGTTATGTTTTGCACAGGCAAGCTGAAAATTTAAGTTGTACTTTCATTCCAAAGCAGAGTATCCTTTGGCATTTCTGCAGCAGAGTTGGAGGGTCCTGCTCACACCAAGACAATTTGTGTCTTACAATGGGGTATCTGAGAGCAGGATGTGCTTTTAGACTAGAGTGGGAAACCAGGGTCCGGCTCTGATCCCTGGCAGGTTTGAATCAGATCCTTCAAATGCGATGCCCCTAAGATACAGCTTGTTATTAGTTGCCTTGTAACAGCTCAGCTCTTTCTCTTTCTCCTCCATTCTCTCCTTCATTCTTATCAGAAATTTGGTCTGGGACCAGGAAACCTCTCAGCCTAAATTAATAAGTTGGTCAGAATCAACTCTACTTCAACAAATGCATTTCTTTCCAATGTGAAGCATTTTCATCAGCATATTTTTCATCATCTCAAATGTATGAGCTTTTCAATCAGTTTCTTCAGTGAAACAATGGAAATTATATTGCTTTTTCTTTTAAAGCCAGACAAATGCAAAGGCAAGGAATAAAGCTTCATGGGACAGCTGGGGAGATGCTGAATTAGTAATGTAAGGAAGGAGCACCAAAGCTGAGCTCTTAGTCTATTTTGTGATTCTGACTACATGATTGTTCCCCGGCAGAAGCAAAACTTTTGGGTACAGAGAGCTAGTTTCATGTCTTACATTCTCTCTTTTGTGCATTATACCCATTCTAGCAAGCATTTCTTGGAGAAGTATTGAGATTGAAGTGTTCTTATACTTCCTACCTTGTGTTGGCATTTTTCCCTGTGTATTGGAAAGCTGAGAAAATATTAGAACCTTTTTGGAGCATACTGGGCCAAGAGGCTCTTTCCAGCTCTGTACTGAAGATGATGGAAAGGTGATGCCACCATTCCTCCTCCCCAGAAGTTCCCTCCTGCCTCTGTGACACCTCTGAGGCTGCTGAGTGTCACCTTTTACTGACTCTCCTGCTTCTAGCAGCCTTTGTCGTTTGATGCATGGATATGCCAAAGCTGGGAAATAGTGTCAACTTCTTTGATTGTGTATTTGACAGTCCAAATCAAAAGGTTATTAGCAAGGGATGCTACAAGACTTCTTTACAGATAAGTTGCCTTCTGTTTGACTGTCATATTTTCTTTACAAGTCTTTTTTTGTGCAGCATTTCTAGAAAAAGGTAATAGGACACCTGGTAGTTCCCCACTCCACAGTCAGGGATGCCACTGACTCTAATGAAGAGCTTTAAATGTGGGACCCAGGCAGGATTTCACCTCTGCCACTCGCATCTGTGGGACTGATGGATCTCCACTAAGCGAGCAAAACTTATCTCTGCACCTTGACTGAGCTGCCTTTCTCCTTATAGCCCTGACAGAATATTGCAGCAAATGGAAATTTGTTAGTCCAGGTGTAATGGCATTTTTCTTTTGTTAAGTAAAGCAATAGGAAGCACAAAGACCAGGACAAAGTATTGTTGATCCCAAAACACAGATATCAAGTTTCTTGTGACCAAAGCAATAATTTCTATTTTTCTCTCTTTAAAGTAACATGACCGTGAGGGGCAAAATCTGACTGCAAGGTTGGCACTCTGCTATCTTGAGCTATGGCTCTACTGTCTTCTGCCAAAAGGACAAGTAATTTCACTGTCACATTCTCACTGCCTGGACTGCTATCACTAGCTTATTAGAAGTGGTGAATTTCTAGCATTTCTGGTACTCCTAATGCACTGACACTTCTGAATAATATACTTGGAATAATCATTTACTGAGTAATATACTTTCTTCACTCATGTGCTTTAAGCAGAGTATGTGTCTACTTCACACTACCTTCTCTTTACACGAACTTTCCTCATATTCAGCCACCTCTGCACAACACCTGGTTCCCATTTCTAAGCCCAGTAGCAAGCCTGCTCCTCACCTGTTCCTCCAGCCTCAGGCTGTGCTGGGTGGCTTTGCCTGTCATCTGTCATGGTGGCAGCAAATGCTGAAGACCTGTCTGCAGCCTGCTACCAGACTGATGAGTGATCCAGGTGTTGGGTGCCTCCCCTGTTTCAGATAGGTGGGTATATCAAGAAAGACACACTTCCTTGAAACCTGCAAATTTTCCTTGGATGCAAAACATGTCCCTTGGCTAAAGCATGTAGAAAAAGCACATCTGAGACTAGAAAGGGAGAGGAGTTCTTTAACCCAGAGGAAGCCACTCTGTCATGTCTTTCAGGAGGATCTTGTGTAACACTGATGGTGGCTCACACCAAGGACACCAAGAAGTGCCCCACTAATCAAAGCTGAGGCTTTGCATGGCCACAATACACTCTCTGTTCTGTGCTTCCCATTGTTATTTCAGAAAGGACACCTTCAGCTCCTTTGTCTTTGCCAAATCCAAATCAAATAACTGCAAGGCAGAAAAATGGCACCACTTCCCTCTTTTTTTTTCTTTTTTTTCCTTTTTTTTTTTTTCCTTTGGGGATGTGAAACATAAATAAACAATACAAAGGAGGAATTTGAGAATTTGGAGCAGGTGGCACCAGTAGTTTTCACCTTTACTTGTCAGTTCAGTGTATCACTCCAGTGCACCAAAAACCTCTCAGACCTCCAAGCTACCTGCTTACCCATTTTACAAAACCAAGGCTGAAGATGTCTTGAGGATTAGTTCTCCCAAATCTTGACTCTGTCCAAGAGTACATGCAGTGGTAGTTCTGACCCTCCTATCTGAAATCTTTGCTTTATTTGCTCCCCAAAAAACAAAGTAGCTGCTCCAGGATGAATATAAAGAACTTTGTAAATTCAGATACTTGTCAAAACCTTTTATTGCAAAATATTCCTGTCTGAATGACCCATTCACTCTAGGTGCCTTATCTGAGCAAAATGGAGTTAAATTCCCAGTTTAGGAATGTCGTTAGGAAAGGAACATAGAGATTTCCTAATCCACACTGTGTTAAGCAGATCAGACCTGATTTCTGGAGGTAAAGTGGGTTGTTTGGGAACTGATATGTTGTCTATCTTGCTCTCAACATTCGTGAAAAGCAGGCTCTAAGGAAGCAGTCTATCATATTGCTTTTATACTGATTCAATTCTAAAAAGTCTGCTAAGACATTTTATTGCAGCTCCTAATAAGTGTTACTATAGTTCATAAATAATGTGCTCATATTCATAAGTCTTGTTTAAGACCAGAGCTGTACAAGAACTATAGATACTGGTAAAGAGACTGTTCCTGACCTGAAGTCTGTATAAACTGAAGGATCAATGCCACTTTACACCAGAAAAAAGATTTGGCCCACAGTTTTCAGAGAGGCTGAATATAAAACATACGGGAAAAGAAGCCAAGAAGCTGCCGCATTTTGAGAGAAACAGGTTAGGCAGTTTAATGACAGAGGCTTTCTGCACACTGGCCTATGCAGGTAAGAACACACAACCTTTTTTAGACGTACCTGTTGGTCACAATGAAAAACGTAGGCAGCATCTCACACTGACATATCTAGCTTGGGAGGCCTGCTCAGAAAAATCCTTCATCAGAGCAGCAGCTGTCTCCTTCCCCAGAGCAAATTCCTTTAAAGCTGTCAAAGATGCTGTAATCAGACTAGGTCATCAAAACCAGTCCTCCTGAGGACTGGAAATAAGATCCAGAGATGAGCATTCAGCTACATGGGCAAGGTCTAAAACGCTAAAGTTTCCATTGAAATTAAATGAAGAGACTGTAATTGCTGTGAAAGAAAAGTGAAGCAATCATTGGGAGAGCCTGAAAGCTTTCAAACCACCTCCTGAAATGCTGCTGGCTGGATAGCAGAGATCCATGTACTGCATAACAGAATCTGATAACAGAGCACAGCTTTTACCAGGAAACCAACTTTGATAACTACTGGAGCATTTGCCTGTGTGGCTCCTGGAGCTAAGGCAAATTTTAATTGAGATTTTACCACACAGTTGAGTAGTTCTATTACCAGGTTAAATAAAAAAGGTTAATAAAGTAATAAAAATGGATTCTTTGCCTTTTTGATTTCAAAACACAAAGCTGTGGTCAATATGTTTAATGATTTGTAAACAGAGTGGAACAAAGCACAAATAGCCATGGTGACCATGGAGAGGGGATTGCTGTGAAGTTGCATCCTCCTTTACACCTGTGCTTGCATTGGCAGTTTTGCAGTTTCCATAAACCATTTGTCAGTAAGGTAAAGCAAATGAACTGAGTTCCTCTCTGGTCCAATGTTTACTGCTGTTACTGGAATTACACGTGAGATAACTTTGGCCCGGACTTGACTAAACCCAGTCTTGGATAAAATGAAAGGGTACCAGTGTATTTGATTTTAGCTGTATTTACAGTATATTGTTTACAGTGTCTCTGATTTTAGGTGATTGATCCTTGCCTCAGGAATAGTATCAAAGTAAACAGATCAAAACTTGTCCTTGTTGCTTCTCCATTGTTCTGGCATTACACCAGATACTGGTTCCCAGTTCTTTCCTACTGCTCAAATTAAAAACAAATAAATAAATAAAATCATGACTGTGCATGGTGCAAATATTCTCATAACTAAGAAAATTTGGAAATAAGCAGCCTCTCTCCTGAGTGGAAATAGCTGGGAGAAATCACTGACTGAGCTGCCCATGGGGGAGCAGGTAGTGCCCTGTCTGCTGTGGTGGGCACAGGAGAGGAGACAGGGAGAGTGCCAGGCTGCCTAAACTGAAAAGAGCAGCCAGTATTTAAGTGTGTGTGTGGGGGAATCTCTGGAGGAAAGGAAAAAGAAAATGGAGGCAATATGCTCCACTGAGATTGTAAAAACAGATAGTTGGAGGACAGGTTGCTGAAGCACAGGAGGGGTGGAGCTGTGCCATGGAAGTACAAGGATCTCTGGAACTGGGAGACCCTGAAAAAGCAAGGCATTGGGAAAGGTGGTGCAGACAAGAAGTGGGCAGCAGTCCCAGGAAGTGATATCGAGGAATCTATTTCCCTTTTCTGATTTCTGTGTTTGTCCAAGTGTCCGAGAAAGTTTCACCCAGCTGGCTCTGTACTGCTTTTCCTGTCTGTCAGAATGGCAAACAGAGGCAGCAGGTTGCAAAGTGACTCACCCAAGGCCAGTCAGAAAAGGAACAGCAGAGCTGACTGCTGGAGTCAACTTAGTGCTCATCCCACCTCCTGAAATTTCCCTGCTACCAGGGACAGGTGACTGCTCTGAGATGCTTCAAGCAAAGGCTTCTGCAGGCTGTGCAGCTCACAACTATCCAGGGAGAGCACCCTAAAAATAACCAGAGCATAAAACTTATGCTGCTGTAAATCCTGTAACGCTGAAGAGCAGCCCTGGGAAAGTTTTACAATGAGGCAGAGCAGAGTATGGAGCAGGTAGCAGAGAGGAACAGCACAATACATAAAGCCATGTACTTGCCTGAACACCCACCAAAGGCATTGTGTGTGAGTGAGCTACAAGGCTTCCTCAACTGTTTATCCTGGTGAAGGATATTTAACCGCCCAGTCAACTGGCTGAAGCTCAGCTGCAAACACACAGTGCCAAAAGTGCAGGAGATGGAGCCAGTGCAATAAACACAAGGTTGCCTTGATTTTTCTTCTGTGTCTAATTATATATATATGTTCAGAATTCCTGGGACCGAATTATAACCTTAAAGTTGCTTTTCTTTCCCTGAGTTAAGAAATGAGGACCAAAACAACAAGTGTCTTTACTTTGCAACTCTTGTGTCACATTATTCCCATATCAAATCTAGCAGCTTCCAGCCTTCCCAACACTATAATTAGAGCATCTCCAGATATCAAAATAGCACTGACCCTCACCACAGTGGTGACGTGCCTGCTTTGCAGCTCTTATCTGTCACGCAAACCAGCTCCTTGCCCGTGCAAAGCAGGTGCATGGAGAGAACGGAGGGTTTTTCATTTTGGCTGCACCCAGCTTGCAGCCTGGGTCCACACATCACCACCAGCTTCTGCACACTCTGCCTTGTGTTATGGGAGGCTGACTGCGCACCAGTTTGCCACTGGAATGGGGGAGCTGGGTGAAGTCTGGAGCTGGAGGAAAGGAGAAACTTTAATTTGACATCTCTTCACCCAGGCTGCTTCTTGAATTAGTGAATGAAATTCAGCTCTTTTGTCAACATTTTGTTCAGGTTTGATATATAGGAACATTCAGGCAGGCTGTGGCTGGCTGTACAGACTGCTGATTTAGGGAGAGCTGAGACCCCAGGATGAATTAATACAGCCTTGTTTCCTTCACTGAGAGCTGGGAAATCCCTATCACATCCTCTCATCCCTGCAAGGTCTGGGATGAGAGGAAGGAACAGAGGGTTTCCCCTCAAGCAAGGATTGCCATCTTGTGGGTGGATGGGCTAAATTTGCCCTCAATCTGTTTTGTACAGTTAGGTGTATTCAAAGTGCTCTCAGTATTTTGCTGAGTTTCATTTCGAGGAATTTATCCTCCTTAGTAAACGGAATAAGCAGCCAAGAGAGGTGTAGGCAGTCACAGAGAGCCCCATCCTCAGCCCATTCTAAGAGCTCTAAACCAGATGAGACAATAGCTCCCTCCGGGGATGGGACGGAGCTAATTGCTTTCTCCAGGGAGCCACGATGGCTACTTTAGATCAGATACCTGAGTTTTACGTAGCTGAGAAGACACGTGGACTGGGTGGGGGGGAACGGGTTAGCGCAGGAGCCAGTGTCTGTGGTTTCATTGCTGGGTGCACATCGTATTCAGCTGCTTTGGGAACTGCTGGCTCTGGAGTTCAAGTGCTCTGAAAACTAGGCACGGGCCAGAACTTCTGCTTATTTCCCACCATGCTTATCACACATGACATACCATGATCCCTTTCCTTTCGCTCCTGATCCTTCCCACGCTCACCAGCCTAAACTGGAAAAGCTGCAAGAAGAAAATTTACCAGAAGTTACAGCAGAAGGTTCAACTCCTCTTGGTGTCAGCAACTGGCAAATCCATGCTCATCTGGATGGAGTAAAAGCATGAACACTTTCACTCCATTTAGGATTTCCCCCACTCCAGGAAATACTTTCTCTCACTAACTGCAAAGTCAGGATTCAGCTGCTCTTGTATCTGAGCACAGCTGAGAACATCACCCCAGGCTCCCACAACTGTCAAGGGAGATAAACAAGTGCTTTTAGGAGCAATTCATCCACCCTAATTTAAATGTCTACATAAGGTGCAGGTGAGTCCTATCCTGTAGGTGCCTGTTTCTCTCTCCATAGCCGAGAGGACTGGATCTGATGTACATGTCTTCACCCAGACAGCAGGATCACACCTACCCTATGCTAAGGCAGAGAAAATTTCATGTCTTCAAGGCCAGAATGACATTTTTGTATCTATTGCTGGGAGGCAGAGGAGAGGGAGATCTCTTTGGGATGACCTTGAACTGAATGTCAGTTCTCTATGGTGAGTTTGTTGGGCTGCAAGGGGAAAGGCAAGAAGGGGTTGCCAAAGGGCAAACTGACCCTCATGTTGAAGCCTCAGTGCAGAAATATGCAGGTGAGCTGTACCTGCCTTGCACCAGCACCTATTTACACTTCTCTCTGTTACTGTGTTTCAGAGAGTTAATTTTAAACATAAACCAAGGCTCTTTCTCCCATTCTGAAGCCCCTCTTTGTTTATCAGAATGTAACTTACATTTTCTTTTACTTTTATGGGAGGTTTGCATTTCCATGTATGTCAGCAGTGCACAGAACCAACATCTGAGTGGGTGAAGTGGAATTTTGATTTATTGGAGGAGAGTGCATTATCAGTACATTCAAGAGACTAAATCTGCCATGGAGAGGACTTCTTTTGTTTCCATCATCAAGTCAGACATTATATCCTGTCAAACATCCCAAGGGGCACTTTTGCTCCAGGCACCAGAGGTAATAGCTCAGAAATTCACTGTATGTTCAAGTCTACATCTTACAAAGCGTTCAGCTCTTGTTCAACTGCAGGATGGAAGCAAAAGAGAATAAATATAGGCATTAATCCTTAGTCTTACCAGCCCTGTGATAGCTCTTGTTTTTTTCGGTGCAGGCTGTGAGGTTTTTCATCTGAACTTTTTCTCCTGGTGTGATCCCGTGGCTGAGGGTGTCAGTGTGGGTCACTTGCTCATAATGTTCAACATGATTAATATTAAATATGCTCAGCTCTGGTGGTGTCTGTGGAGAGCCACCGAGTCACCTCTGCAACACATCTGTTCCTTCACCAGGAGTGTTCATTTGCTGTAAGCCTCCTTTTTTTTTTTTTCCTTATGCAGTCAATGAGAGGAAATTATCTCAGATAACAGCATTTTACAGCCTGCAGTAAACACACAGGAGTGTTATCCCTTCTGCTTTTTCTAATGCCCCTGTGCATTCCTTCTGCTCTTGACAGAGGTCTGGTGACCAACAGCATCATTTAGTGACTGATTATCGACCCTATTTGAGGCTTCACAGGTCACTGAATCACAGAAAGGCTTGGACTGGAAGGGACTTGAAGACCATCTAGTTCCAACCTCAATGCCATGGGCAGTGACACTTTCCACCAACCTTCAAGGTTGCTCCAAGCCCCATCCAACCTGGCCTTGAACACTTCCAGGCTCTGGGTATCCACAGCTTCTCTGGGAAACCTGTTCCATGCCTCACCATCTTCTGAGTAAAGAACTTCTTCCTGAAATCTCATCTAAATAGTGACCCACTGTTGGTACATCTGAATGGTCACAGCAGCTCATACAGAGCAGATTTGGTGAGAGTTGTCTAAAGAAATATACTGTTTAGTGAGTTCCACAAAGCAGACAGAGACTCACTGAACAGCCAGTTATTTATGAATAAATATATCTATTCAGAGGGGGAATCACATAAAACAACAGGCTGGCAGTGGCTGGTAATTTAAAATGCAGCAGGCAGACTGTTGCTTGCATTAGTAACCTATGAGAAACATCGCTTAAATAGCACAATCAGCTCCAACCAGCTCCTTGGGAATTACTGAATCATTTGTGGTTCTGTGGCTCTACTTTATTCTTAGAGAAACTTGCTCTTACATCTGTTTTCTTTATTTACATAAACTTGATAGCTTTAAGTGACTATGGTTTCCTTCAAACCATAGGCTGTTCTTTTACAGAAAGTCACATATAGTCAACTCTTAATATTACTTACTTCGGGCTCCTGGTAGGATAATATCATTTCACAGTTCAGTACTATGCAATTTGTTTATCTTTGTTGCTTCTTTTCATCTCTGATGTGCAACATATTCTTCTCACTCCTAAATCTGGACCTAAACTGCACGCATTTTCCATGCATTGATTGTGCCTTTTCCTAATAATTTGGTGCTTGTATCATTCCCTTAATTTTGCAAATACTATGTTCTGTACCAGAAACACTCAATGATGGGCTGTGTTTATGTGGGGGCCTTTTTTCTGACAAAGAACTATATGAGAAATGGAGGTTAGATTGTACATTTGACATAAGAGGTGTATTTTAGAGAAGCAGATCAGTAGATCCTCATCTGGCCTCAGTTCCAAATGGAAGTAGCTCTGTTAAATACAAGGAAAGGTGCTGATTTAGCCCAGCTTGGCCAAGCATGTATTTGAGTACTTACTTGAGTACAATCATAAAGGAGAATAATCACACTTGGGATCACCATCAGTGATGTTGGTCCTGCTCCGTATTTCTTTCCTTTAACCCTTCACTCACCCTATTTCCATCAACTATACCAGGCTGAGCTGAGCTGTAAAATAGCAACAACAAGGCAGAGGTCCACCCAAGTGAAATGAAAATGAAATAAAAGCTTGATTTGGCTCCAGTCTTCAAACTTTTTAGTGACCTTTTTTTTCCCCCAGCACCATTTGACCAGACAGGATATTCACATCATTAATGGAGATTATATTGTCTCAAAATGACAGTGCTAAAAATCAGCAATGAAGAAATGGAGAGCTGCTAAATGCTGAACTGAGAAGCAAAAAGATGCAATAGGCATTAAACTGAACTCCTTGTTATAGGCAGTCTAAATTTCTAAATGCAGCAGACTTCACACAGTATCTCTCAGTCTTCAGTATCCTTCAGAAAACTTTTCAGAAGACTTTCTTGTCTTCTAATCATCATGTTTAAAGTTATTGATGGCTAATTTATACTAATTTATTCTCATGGCAATATCCTTTATCTTCTACAACTCCTCCACAGAAGAAACTGCAGTGCCATTTTACTTTAATTTTTAATTATGCACATCAGAAATAATGCTGTTAAGTGCTAAAGATCAGGATGAGACCTAAT